AATAAAAGACACATTCCGTTAGACAAAAACAACTGGTATATCAAAAATCTTAGATAAATCTTTCAATTAACATTAAATGCCTTTTGAGGACTTATTAGAAAAGAAATATCGACCATTATTTGTTTTCTTATTTATTATTTTAATGGTTTGTACGCCTTTAAATCAAAACAACCTGTATATTGTGGACTATAAAGTGCACAATGAGTCAAGTTCGTTCCCTCATAGTACGGGAACGCGCCAATAGAGGCGCTTAAGTATCTTCTTATTTGATTTCCCAATCATCTAAAGACCGCGCCATTATTCCATGGCTAGAAATTGGCCTCTATGATTTGGGATCGAGGGGGATTATCCCTCTTTATCCTGCCTCATCTCGTGTAGGCCTGGACAGCCTTCGTAGGTGGGCCCCATCCGTCGTCTACCCCGACCGCAAATGCGGCCGGTGTAGGCGCTTTGTGGGACCTCCTTTTGTCCTGGCTGGGCCCCGCCGGCTAGGGCCCTTTCTTCTGGCGCTCTTCTTGCTTCGCCGGCTCGTCTGTGTAAACCCCGGGGGTAGTGTCATGTTTATGTGTGGTATGGTTGGGTAGGGTAGTGCGGCTATGCAGCCTGGGATGCGCTTTGCTAAGGTGGCCCTTAGGCTAGCGCGGGAGGGGAGGGTTAAGGAGGGTATGGGGGGTGTGTGTGTGTGTGTGTGTGTGTGTCGTTGTCTTCGTTTCTTGATCCTGGCTGTCTCTGAAACAGAAAAGGTTAGCGGGCAGGGGGGGGGTCATTGGGGTGGTCACCCAGGGTCAAAAAGTTGGTGTCTAGGTCTTTTGTGTTTGTCGGTCACGTCGGGTACGTAGTCAACGGCTTGCCTGAGGAGGGGATTGTCATGTCTAGCGGCTACGTCAAATCGTTTCTCCGCGTTTTGTCTTATTGTCTGTGTAGCGTTTGTGTATTGTAAGTCTCGTAATATGTCAGTGTTTCTTACGTACCAGGGCGCGTCGGTGGCCGTGCGGAGGGCTATGTTTTCCACAGCCTGTAATGACTTTAAGTGGCTTTTTGCCGCGTGACCCCACGCCGTGGAGGCGTAGGTTAGCTGCGGTTGAAGTACCACCTTGATAAGCGTTCGCTTATTCCTTAAACTGAGGGTGTTTCCACCTTTGAGTAAGGGATAGAGCCTAGCCCTGGTGGTCTTCGCTCGCGCCACCGTCTCCACGATGTGCGGTTTCCACGTGAGACGCTGGTCCATCGTCACGCCCAGGTATCGTGTTTGTCGATTCCAGGAGATGGGTTCCTGGGATAGTGTCAGTCTGTCAAGGTTTTGTGGGATTTTTCGTTTGGTAAAAAGGATAGCCGAACTTTTGTTGGGATTAATTTTGACTTTCCACCTGTTGCACCAGGTTTCAAGTTGGTCTAAGGAGCTTTGGAGGAGGTAGACGGAATATCTAGGATCTACGGATTGGGATGTGATTGTCAGGTCGTCGGCGTATAAGTATATGTTGGTGTTGGGGGGATGTGGGATGTCGGAGTTGTAAATGGTGTATAGGTGTGGGGACAGGACGGTGCCCTGGGGGACACCGGCCTCCATGGGACGGGTGGTGGAAAGGGAATCTTGGATTTGGATGCGGAATTTTCGGTGGTGTAGGTAGGATTTTATGAGTTTGGTAAAGGATATGGGATATTGGTTGGTGAGCATTTTCATCAGTAGGCCTTCATGCCAAACCGTATCGAAGGCCTTTGCGACGTCCAGGAAGACAGCACCAGTGTACTGTCCCCTGTTGAAGGCCGCCGTGATGTGCTCGGTAAGGCGAAGGATTTGGAGTTCAGTGGAGTGATTGGGTCGGAAGGCGAACTGCTCGTCTGGAATGACTTGCAGTTCTTGGGAGTGGGTTCTTAGACGGGTTAGGATAATTTTTTCTACCACTTTGCTCATAGCCGGGAGCAGGCTAATGGGCCGGTAGTTGGATGGGATGGTGTGATCTTTGTTGGGTTTTGGGATAAGGATTATGTTTGCTGTTTTCCAGCGGGTAGGGAAGTGTCTTAGTCTGAGTGTCGCGTTTGTTATGTTTAGTAGGGCCATGAGGCCCTTGTGTGGTAGTCGTTTAAGTGTCGTGTTATGTATATTGTCGGGTCCGGGGGCTTTTCTGTTTTTAAGTCTGCGTATTGTCAGTCTTAGTTCGTCAGGTGTTGCGGGGGGGATTATGTCATTGTCTGGCTCTCTGTCGACGCGTCGGGCCGCGCGCTCAGCCACTATCTCGAATTCCTCGTCTTCGTCGGGCAGCTGAGGCAGTCTACACTGCAGTTCCAGGCTATCGGCGAAAGCCTCGGCCTTTTCCTGGTTCGTGTAAACCACCCCCACACTACCGTGGATTGGAGGAATTTTACGGCGAGCGGTCTGTCGCAGGGCCCTCTGCGTTTTCCAGAGGCTGTTGTCTTGTGGATCCAGCGACTCCAGGTGCCTAGCCCAGTTATCCTGGGCCAGTTCATCCAGAGCCGCCTTCACCCGTCTGTTAAGTACGTTTAAGTCATGTCTGTGTCGGGGGAGGCGGGTGCGGGTGGCAAGCCGTTTCGCACGTCGTCTGTCACGTATTAAGTTTTTTATGTCATCGGGGAGGGTGCCCCGGGGGTTTGTCAGTCGGGGGACAATAGTCTCCGTCGTAGTCTGAGTCAGGGCGTTTTTAATGTCAGTCTCAAGGGAGAGGATTGCCGCCTCCAGATCATGGGTGGTTTCGATGACTGGGAGCGCCATGTTTCCTTGCATTACTGTTCGGAAACGCTCCCAGTCAGTGAACCTCCTCGTGAAGGTGCCTTCATATCTCTGTCTTCGCCCCAGATCCAGAAATATTGGATTGTGGGCGGAAGACCCTTCGTATTGGGTGGATATTTGGGCATTTAACGGTATAGATTTTAAGAGGGCAATGTCGATAACGTCGGGGCGTCCTACGGGTCCGTAATGTGTCGGTTCTGTCGGTCCGAGTATAGTCAAGTCGTCGTGTCTGTCTTGGTAATTCAGCAGGACGCGACCTCTTGTGGTCGTCGTCCCGCTGTGCCATATGGGGGACTTCGCGTTGAAGTCCCCGATGGCAATTGTCTGGGGCCAGGAAAGGATTTTGTCTAAGTCATTGTCAAGTAGTGGTAGTCTGGGTGGGTGGTAACAGGACACCACCGCAACGTCTCCATGCCGTAGCGATCTCACCGCTATCGCCACGGCCTCTGTGTTTTGAGTTTGGAGCCGCTGCAGCGGATAGTGGTCGATGCACTTCTTTACTATGAGTGCAACACCACCCCCGTTACGGTTTCTGTCATGTCTGTATATGTCATAGTCAGGGATGGAGGTACGGGATGCCTCGCTGAGGTAGGTCTCCTGGACAGCCATAACGTCTATGTTTAGACGGTTCAAGATGTCCACGAGTTCCGTTTTTTTGGCCCGGAACCCGTCAAGGTTCCAGGACGAAATTCTCAGCGAGGAGGGTTGGGAGGGCCGACGAGCCATTAGAAGTCGAATAATTTTTGCATATTCGACACCATGGTCGTCAGCTGGACGCAGAAGTCCTGAAGACGCTTTGTTGCGTCAATCAGGGCCGCCGCGCCCGGTTGGGAGGGTGTCGTGTCTGTGTGTGCGTGTGGTGAGGTGTTGTGTTTTTGTTTTTGTGTGTTTTGTGTTTTTCTGGTCATGTCAGCGTATGTGCGTCCTGGGGTTGTGTTTGGGGTGGGTAGGAGGGGCTGTCTGTGTGTTTGTGTAGTGTTTTGTGTCGTGTGTGTGTCTGTGTTTTGTGTTTTTGTGTTTTTAGCTTTGGGGTACTGAGGGCACCCCATATAGCTGGCGGGGTGTGGCCCGGCGCAATTTGCACACCTGGCGGGCGTGTCTTTGGCCTACCTATACGGTTAGAATATGCCAAGCTGTACAATAAGACGTCTCTCCAATGTAAAAAATCCAATACATTTGAATCATAGGCGTAGACAAAAAAAGGGGCTTCGATTTTTTTTTTATCAAAATTACATAAACCCAGCAGTGGCATAGGATAAAATTCCATGCAAAGTTTCGATTTAATATCTTAAAAAATAACAGATTTATTGGTAACAATCTTTGTTTTAATCATAATTTTCACATCTCGTACTTTGTTGAAAAAGAGGTGTCTATAAAGTGGCATACACGCCGCGCCATTATTCTATGGCTAGAAATTGGCCTCAATGATTTGGGATCGAGGGGGATTATCCCTCTTTATCCTGCCTCATCTCGTGTAGGCCTGGACAGCCTTCGTAGGTGGGCCCCATCCGTCGTCTACCCCGTCCGCAAATGCGGCCGGTGTAGGCGCTTTGTGGGACCTCCTTTTGTCCTGGCTGGGCCCCGCCGGCTAGGGCCCTTTCTTCTGGCGAGTGGCATACAAAGTCTCAAAATCTTTTCCCAAATAATTTATGGTTAATATAGATTGATTTGTTTTTTGTAACACCTTTTATAATAGGCACTACACTAATCAAGTCACGTTCACCGACCAACATTTTCAATCAACGTAAAAGCAATTTGAAAAATTTCTCTGTCTAAGGCGATAAAATTCATGGCCAACATAGCGTCATTTTAAGGTCCAAAATGATTCACAAAATAGTGTCTTCCATTTATGTTATGAATATTTTGGATGTTCGAAGATGATCATGAATTTTAGTTAGTCAGTCTCACGCTTTCTGGTGTTTTTACCACTTTTACTAGCAGGGGAACTCTGGTATCGGCCGAAACGAACTCTAATAAATTTTAATAAATATTAGCCTATTTATAAAACGGTTTGTATCATTACTTATTTGTATTATACTGTGGCCAAACCAGCTTCTGAGCATGTGCAAAATATGCCTCATATTGGAAATCTAACCTCAACAATTTCACTCTTATGGGACTTAAAATTTTTCTTGCAGACTCGTACTTAGCACCATCCATTTATTATAGTGATCAGTGAACCGCCCCTGTAATGGAAATTTCATTTTGTAGTTGGCTTTGTTTGATTCGACGTATAGTTGTTAGAGGGCCTAATCTGACAGCTCGCAAATTCTGACTAAAATTTCGGGCGCAAGGCTGCAGAAAATGCCTCCATTTTGTTTATTTTCTTATGTGAAAAGTGTTGTGTCGGCATCGCGATAAATAACAATAATATCAAGCCAATGAGCTTAGTATAAATAACGAAATTCTTTGCAGGTTGAAAAATACAGTCGTATATATGTTTCTTGTGCGTTTCCCTCGCCTAGAGGGTTTAAAAAATAGCAGACATTGGGCGCATCGCGAGTAAGCACTTTGTCAAATTGACTACAGTCTCCGGCACTAAAAATAATTCGCATAATAGTAATAATACTACTTATCGTACTGTCGCGGCGGACAAAGAAAGTTTATTAAATATAAAAAAAAGTAAAAGTGTATTTGGCACTGTTGGCAAAGACAAAACTGTGCCCCTTTTATCTCCACCCCCAATTATGAACCACGTGACTGGCCACTACCGTAGGAACGAAGACAATCCCCAAAACCAAAATATTAACGTAAATGAAGTAGAAGAAATGGAAACTCAAGAAGGTAAGTTCAAGTCATCCTGGACAGCCATGACAAATGTATCTGACATATGACAAATTCCACAACCCACACATCCCAGTCAGTAAAAAATATACTCTTCCATCTGACAATGGACTTACATTAGAGTATTTATATAGTGACTACAATGGACTACATCACAGATTCTGGCGGTGGAGAAATGGACCAAACCCAAAACGGAGAGGTAGTCATTGGACCTCAGCCCGATCCGAATATGTCAGTTCAAGATGCTGAAATGGAAGAGGATGAAGCTCGTTCTGAGGCCACATTTAGATTTACAGTACATCAGTTTAGCAAGTTGAAGGTCAGTAAAATTATAATGTATGATAAAAATTATCAATTTTCGACTTGTCTTTGAGATAGTGTACCCAATGGTCAAAACTTCAAACCACTCACTTAGAGTATGATTGATTTTATTTTAACTTTCTGAAAATGTAGAAATTAAATTTAAAACTTATTCAAGTGTAACTAATAATAATGGCAAGTAGGTTATTTACAAATTTAAATTAGTTATGCAACCCACATTTAATGTAATCGTCCTATTCAAAATATTTTATTTTGCAAAATAAATAAGTGTAGTTGTATATACAGTTATACAGATTAAAGCTGTGCAATTGCCTCAGTTAAATAATTTTATGATTAAGAATTTTTTTAAGTATTTTAAAATTAACTTTTTTTTTTTTGGAATACCTAAAATTAGGAGTTTATTCACTGCCTTGGTAAAAGGTGAATATTTTATATCTAATATAAATACCATGTCATTTCTTTTTATGGATTTAATTGAAAGTACAGGTCAACTTATTTCATTTGGCTGGTGGATTGGGTGCACAGTTGTAAAGTGAAGAAATCTAATTTTGTTATCGGAACTATACTGTACATTCTCACAAAAAGTCGAGGAGCCCACATTAAAACTTTCAAACAAAATTTTTAATGTGCAAGTTGGGGAAGTACTTAATAAATATTTCTGTATGTAAATAATTGTCTCTTAATGTATTTAGAGGTAGCAGGTAATATACCAAGAGAGGTAATATACCCATGTTCACTTTTACCCACGATTGTACTTTAGTTATCACCACTCGATCCTCTTAACTTTTTATATGTTGTGCTCACGTTTGCACGCATCTCATCACTAGTCAGATGAAATTAGTTGAACTGTGAGTATATATATGTAATCATAAGGGTAGTTAGTAAAATATATAATACATGGCCTTACTTGTAATAAAACTTAAAAATAGCTTATTTACAACATTGTTCGGAAGATGACCACAATTTCGACCATAACAGACTTCTACTTATATTTACATATTTTTGTTACACACTTTATATGAAAACAATAAATAAACTATCTTTGTTGAGAAGATTACAATATTTGTAGTTTTATAAAAATCCATAGAAATATATAGAATGTTTCTTTTGAAAATGTACAGAACTCACAGCATTTTATCAGTATGCTTAATTATCCTGTTTATGCATGGATAGGTAATAAAAAATTCTAAACATGATTTCTATTTTTATATAAAACTCTGTTAACAGGTACATATCACATATATATCAGTGATTTTCAGTCAGTATTAAATGTTACTAATCCTAAGACTGGTTCAATATATAGGTTTCCAATAAATGTATTTGTAATCTTAAGTATCACAATTAAAATTCCTCATTCAAACTATAAAAAGTGTTCCTAGTTGCATGTATACCTTCCATGAAATGTAAATTAGACAATATTTATGTGGCAATATAGTATTATACAGACAAAACAGGAAATAATCAAATATGTAATCATAAATATTCTCAAAATTTTTCAAGTACGTGTATAGTTCTTCCAAAGTCAGTTGAACATGCATAAAAAACCGAGCAATCAAATTTAATGAGTTTCATGGGCGTCCTTAAAAAAGTTTTCTGCTAAAGGTAGAAAATTATAATAATGTGTAGAAAATTTCTATTATATGTTCATTTGACCAACAACATATTTTAATTATTTATGTCCTTAAACAATTTTATTATATTGATGGTAAATTTCGTTTTGTTCCATTTCAAAAGGTCTCCAAATTGCCATGTTGTAATAATATTAGTAAACCAAATATTCCTCTAATAGAATCTATAATAAATTAAAATATCTGAATCACACCAAATTCCGCACTCCCGCACTGCACTGCTAGGCGACTAGACGACAACTGAATTTTGACAACGCAATGAACCAGAGAAACAGTGCGCATTGCTCTTTGCCCACATGCTCATTCTAAAACTGAGCATATACATTTCTACCACCTGTACTTTTTGTTCGACCAGATCTGTATATGGGTATGGCTAAATAAATGTGGGAACAAGTTTTTCAAATATTTCAATGCTGAGTTGCTGCTTAGCGACCGAGCCTGGTACATACCTTGAAGATATTGGTTCTTCAATAATTTACTTCGGAAAAACCATAGTGGAAGGTGAATCTTAAATGAGTATATAACGAGCGTTCAAATAAAAACGTGGTCGAAGTTGGCTCTGACACATTGGACGTAGGGAGTAGCTTATAGCGACCAACTTAACCTCATTTCTCAACGAGCTGTATAGCAGCTGTCAGTTTCAATAACGTTAATGACTTAATGACTATATAACTTTATTTTAAAGAATAATCGTGATAACAATAACAAACAATTAAAGAAGCTGCGGAAAGTGTCCCCCTCCTTGTTATAACAATAAATTAAAGCAGCTGCTGAAAGTGTCCCCCTCCTTGTTCCAGGCACTTTTCACACCTGTTAGTTCCTCAAAGATTTAAAGACATTTTCTAAGATGCTCGGGGTATTGTTAATTTCAAGAATCTTGTCTATAAGTCGAGCCTGCAGATGGTTTAAATCAAGAATAGGCAGTTCAAAAATAGTGTTTTTAAGGTAAGGCCACAAAAAGAAATCACACGGCGTAATATCACATGACCTCGGTGGAAATTCATGTTCAGCATTGAGACTTATTAGTCGATTTTAGAAAACTTCCCTCAACATATTCATCGTCTCGCCTGTCGTATGTGCCCTTGCGCCATCTTGTTGAAAGTAAAAGTTTGTAATTTCGTTTTCTTCCAGCTGGTTAACAAAAGGAGCGATAATTTCTTCTCTATACCTTTGCGCAGTAAGAGTACCATTAAAAAAATAGGTCCATAAATCCTCCTTCGATTGAGAGCACACCAAACTCCAATTTTTTGAGCGTGTAGAGGGCCCTCGACAAAAAAGTTATCTGGTTTTTCAGAAGACCACATTCTCATATTCTGTGAGTTTATGTAACCACTTAAATGAAACCAGGCTTCATCAGAAAAAAAGGTGATATTATGAAGTTCACCGTAGTTGTTTAAAAACCATTCACAAAATACAGCCCGTCGCGGAAAATCAACTTCATGAAGTTCTTGCTGACAAGTTAAACGATAGGAGAACAAACGCAAATCTTTTTTTAACACTGTGTGGCAGGTACCGACTGATACTCCCACCATTTGTGATAAAACACGTACAGAAGTTCTTGGCGCATTTTCCATTATTTGTTGGACATTTTCTTTTAATTCTTCAGTCCGCTTTTTAGGTCGGCCGCTTCCTTCTTTTCTTGTTACACTGCCCGTTTCACGAAAAACATTAACATAACGCTGAACTGCACTTTGAAAAATTTTGTACTCAACAACGCCGGGAAATTGATTTTGAAATTCTATGAAACATTCCTCAATAGAATACTTCCATATTCCATCAATCTTGCGTCCATTTCTAAAGTAGGACTCTATGATAAACACTTTTTGTTGTTGAGAAAACACAATTTTAAACGCTTTTTAAAACGAAAATATTCAAATTGAGAGCGGCGATATAGCGCTTTGACAGATGACGTTTAAGTTCATTTGCTATACGCTACGCCCTACGTCCAAATTTTCAGGACCAACTTGACCACTTTTTTATTTGAACGCTCGTTATTTTACACAGCGGTACAGTTTACTATGTACAAATACAATGGTTTCTATGTAAAAAAAATTAAATTTTCATTATTTTAATGATAATAATAATAAATAGAAAACTTCTTAAAAACCGCTGACTTCATTTTGGTATTTACACTTTACATAATTTGTCTTTGTCACTTCTTTCTGAAAGGGAGATTAATTAATTAGGCAATATTGCCACTGTTACACAAAATTCTTAAACTATAACTTTTTACAAGAAATAGGAAGAAAATATAAGATTTTTTTAAACTATGATCCAAAGATATTTTGAAACTAAATTCATACAACTTTTCCCATATTTCTTTAAATCTTATGTTTACATGCTCTTTTAGTCATATTTTCTTGATATTTCTTACAAAAAAATTTACTCGGTTTTTAATTTTCGTATAAAATCATTATTTTTAACTGCAATTTAAATAATGTAAAATTGAAACGAATTTGGCAGGCAGTCGACTACAATGGCTTTATAAATAATAGTGGCGACAGTGGTACAACATTTTAATTGGTGCCACCATTTAACAATAAATATCAGCTCTGTTTAGACTTTATATACCTTTTTAGAAGTTTTTTCACTTTTGTAGTGATAAGTATCTGCCTACTATATGAGCTTATGGCAACCGATGTAATTTTTCTTTTGGCTAATATCTTTTTATCATTCAATTAAAACTTAAAACACTAAAATAGGGGAAGTTTACATCTCTACTGACTCCTCTGTCCTTTATATAGTCACTGTAGTCCTGATTTACTTTATTATACTATTTTAATTGTGCCAATAGGAAGCTAAACCACTGTCCTCCTTTTATTTATTAACTGAGTGTATACAGGGTGATTCCTAAATCACATCGTTTCGGAGATAGAGGGCGGTGAAATATAATTTTTTTCCTGCTTTTGAACCACTCATCCGATTGAGGTGAAATTTGGAACACAAACACTTCTTATGATCTTACATAAGCTTCTTAAGTTTGAACCACCTATCCCTCTTAAAAGTGTATTTTGTGTGGTACCCCAAAACTTCAAAAAAATTTATTAATTTTAATAAAACAGCTACACACCACTTTTATCTCATTTTTTCAATATTTGGCCTTGTTTCTGAGATAGGCATGGGTAACACTGTACATTTTCATGTATTGACACAACAATACCGACACGGCTTGCTGTATCAACACAACGTGTCAGCACAATTGTGTCATGATACAGTAAACAGGATCGGATAGATGCAGATGTGTGGCACTGTCTGCGTGTCTGCGCCGCGTTCAATCTCGTTATGACACGCCGGTTCCTTTACAAGTTCACAATATAATTCTAATTAGTCCAATTTTTGTAATTTATTTTTGATTATTTTGTTTTATTTA